CAACCACTGCATGGGGTCAATCGCCAAGAGCTTCAAATTCATTTTATAATTAAAGGGGTCAAGCTCCTGGCTCCTTAGGAAGTGTGTGAGAGCAAACTGTGCGAGACAGCAGCAGGGAGCTGCTGCATGTCCTTGGTGCATTCAGAGGGCTGTGCTGCTGGAGAGCATGGACATCTGCTGTGGTTCACATCACTCCGGGGACATGAGGCAGGGCCGCCCCAAACGAGGAGCTCAGTCTGGGATCCAGGAGTTTTAAACAAATTCTCAAACTTTTCCTAGAGTGTGTTGTAGTGGTGCTGCTGGCAGTGGCTATGGGTCTCTCCCATGGCTGCTGAAAGCTCAGCTGAGCTGACAACATCTGACAGCTGGAGAAAAACAGCCTTCCAACCTCTAAATTGAGCACATTTGCCATGGACTCAATGGAGACTAATGACATAAAAGCTAATTTTCTTTTTTAAATTTTTTTTTTTTTTTTACAGAGGGACTCGGCAAATGGAAATTTCACATTTTCATGGATGTTTTTGCTCTTTCAGGGATTTTTTTTTTCCCTCTTCCTTTCCTTGTGTAAGGAAAATGCCCAGTTTCTTGTACAAGACAGACCTGGAAGGTTTGTACTTTGCTTTGGACTTGGGAGTCCTGCAAAAGAATGGCTGTTCAGGAGCTTTCATGGAGCTCCTGAGCCAAAATCCGAGGAATAAGGCAGAGAGAAATAAGGGCTCCTGGGAAAAGGTGAGCATTTCACAGGAGGGAAGATGGAAGGAATCAGCCAGCTCAGCCCATTGAAAAAAAAGTTCTAGGAGATCTGCAGCAAACCTAAAATATTTCAGGGATATAAACTTCCAGGAGGTTAAAAGGTATCTTGGTTAAAAGCCATTGTTGGTTCAAGGATAAAACGCAATAAACCAGCCACAGATAAATTTAGGCTGGAAATTAGAAAAAGCTAATTACATTTCATAGAATGTTTCTGGTTTATTCTTCCAGATGGAAAGAGAAGCTCAGGTTAGTGCAGAGCAGCTACTGTGGCAGGAATGCTACAAGCTGCAAGTCCAGGAGGATAGCAGTGGATGCTCAGCAAACTCTTCTCCATGCTTTTCTCTCTGGCCCCACTTTTAAAAAGGAAAAACCTTTCCAGAGAGTTTTTCCTAATGGCCAAAAAAAAATCCTTTCTGCAGGGAAAAGGTTTTCATTTTACACACATTGTCAGTGGAGCCTTCTTAGCCAGCTAATTTCTCAGGTCTTTAACCAGCCAGGCTGCCTGGAATGGAGAGATTTCCTCTCATCTCAAATCACTTGGCTGCACATAGGAGAGAAGCCCTTTGAGGAGGTGAATTTGCAAGGCTCTCAAATCCTCTTTATTCTCACTATGCCATCCCTCCTTGACTCATCTCCAAGAGACCATGTTGGGCTAAGCCCAGAACAGGCACAGAAAGGTGACAGCACCAATCCTAGACACACAGGCACACACAGATACAGCTCCCTCCCCTGCACCATAAATTAAATATCATCTCTACCCAGGGCTGGGGAGGATCAGCTGAAATAATCCAGTCCTGTCCTCTCTGATTCAGAGACACTGAATCAGGGCAGCCCACAGTCCTCACCCACTCCAACCCTGCTCCTCCCGTGTCCCTGAGATGCCAGAGGCCCACAGTTCACATCTGGCCTGTTCAGGTACCCAGCTGGGTGTTAAACACACACCTGCAGCCAAAAAAAGGCTGAATTTGGTTATTCCTGTGTTAGTCAAAGCAATGATGGTGGGAGTCTGCAGTGGGACTAGTGTTCAGGCAACCAGGACTCCAGGGACAAGTGGCATTCCAGAGGCAATGTGAATTCTTAGGGACACTTTTTCCTTGCAGCTGCTTGCACTCTCTGGGAAAACAAGCACGAGGCAAAATGAACACAGACAGGGTTGGGACACACACAGTCTGGGGATAAAGGAGAAGGTGGCTGTTAGAATGAAAAGGCAGGCAGGCCAAATGCTTTCTGAGTGCAATTATTTTAATGTGTCTCTCTTTTCCAAATTCCACATTGCACACACAGAAATAGCAATTTTTTAAAAAAGAGCCACACCAGAAATTCTGACTTGGAGAGCTAGGAACTCTCCTTATCTCCCACTACACAAGGAGGCACGAGATTCACAACAACATCAGGCACAGCTGACCGTGGGCGTGAGCAGACAGACAGACAGACATGGAAATTACAAAAGACAGAAGAAGGCAAGAGCAGGAAGGCAGCTGATGTTCTCATGGCCACCGTGCTGGGCAGGGGGGTCACAGCCTGGTGGGCACACCCACCAGACCAGGCCATCAGCATCTCACTGCTCCTGCCCCTGTGCCTGCCAGACCCCATCTCTGCTGCTTGTCCTCTCTTGGTCAGGCATTGTGTTATCCACCTCTGGTAGCATTTCACAGGGCAGCTGTGATAAGAGTGACTCCAGGTTGCTCTTCAGTCCTGGCTTTCAAAACTTCAGCGATCAAAATTGTGTGGTTATCTCTTGATTTTACTAATAACTCTCCTTATCTCCCACTACACAAGGAGGCACGAGATTCACAACAACATCAGGCACAGCTGACCGTGGGCGTGAGCAGACAGACAGACAGACATGGAAATTACAAAAGACAGAAGAAGGCAAGAGCAGGAAGGCAGCTGATGTTCTCATGGCCACCGTGCTGGGCAGGGGGGTCACAGCCTGGTGGGCACACCCACCACACCAGGGCATCAGCATCTCACTGCTCCTGCCCCTGTGCCTGCCAGACCCCATCTCTGCTGCTTGTCCTCTCTTGGTCAGGCATTGTGTTATCCACCTCTGGTAGCATTTCACAGGGCAGCTGTGATAAGAGTGACTCCAGGTTGCTCTTCAGTCCTGGCTTTCAATACTTCAGCGATCAAAGAAAGGAATTGTGTGGTTATCACTTGATTTTACTAATTTTTGGCTCCGGGTGCTCAAAGAAAAGTCTTGCATTAACCATATTCGCATGGGAAATGTCTCTAAAAGACTTCCAAGCTGTTGTATGCTAGTGAGGCCAGCAAGCTGGGAATCAAACTACATCAGCAAGCTGTTCTGCTTAATTGCTACAGCACTCATGGGCAGGCAGAAATCGAGGGAGCCTTTTTCTCAGCACAGCAGTTCCTGCACTCCAATGAGCGGGCAGTGCTGGGGGCAGAGCTCCCCAAGAAAATTAGCACTAAGGGAAATCACACAGGGATCAGGCTGTGCAGTCCCATCCAGCTCGGAGCAGTCTCTAGATTCAGGTGTGCCAATGCCAACCCTGCTTCTTGGCAATGCTCATCCTTCAAGCAGCTTTCCATGGAGCTGGGAGCAGGTGCTTGCCCTCTCACAGCACAAATCAATGACTTGCCAGGACCTGGAGGCTGTACCAAGCACTTGAACCTGCATCTACCCAGCCCTACACAAGCACCCTTCTCCCAAAGGGTCTTCTGCCCTTCTCTGCCTCTTCTCCTCCTAATCAGTACAGACCCACCCTGCTGAAATCAAGATGTAATTCCTTGGTGGAGAAGGAGCCGTTGGAGGCAGCAAACTGCTGGAGGACTCAAAGACTCACATTACAACTCTTTGGTTAACCTTTTGTCAAGGAATTACTTCAACCTCATCTGACCTGGGCTCATGCAGGGACCATCAGCTGCCCAGGGGCTCCCCAGAGCAGCCAGGACCCTCCTGCATGGCCTGTGCAGCACCATGGCTCTTCTCTCCAGCTCTCCCATGGCTGCACGTGGTCCCTGGCACAACACCCATGTGGCTCTCACAGCCTGGCCACACACAGGGACCTGGTGGCCAAGGGGAGCCTTGGCCATGCCACAACCCCTCTCTGTCCTCCAGCACTTCCCCTTTAGCCCTCCCATCTCTCTCTACATGGATTTCTGATGGTTAAAGCCTCAGGGCTCTGTTGTCCTCAACCAAGCAAGCAGCTGCTGCTCCTGGGCTGAATGGGAAGTGTTTCCTCCCTCTGGCTACAGGAGATGTAAAGTACTGTAAGAGAGAGATGACTGGAGGGAACACGAGATGGAAAACACATCTCAGAAAACATGAGTGGTGCTGAGGGCATGGGCTGTTTGCTGACCCTTCTAACCTGGGAAACTTGAGTCACAAAAGGGAGGTAGGAGGATGCAGGATGAAAAGAAGCCAAAGTGTGCAACTCTCTCCTGCAGGATCATAAGTGATGGGAATTGACAGGCAGTCAAGGCGCAAATGGATTATTTCATGGGGGAGAAATCCATTCAGGGCTGCTACATACAGGCACCACTTCCAGCTCAGGAAGCTCCTAAGCAATAGCACATTGGAAGCTGGGAAAGCACTTCTGGCAAGCAACATCCTGGCTTTCCCCTGTTTTTATGTTCCTCTCCAGACCTTGCTCTCAGCCTTGTCAGAAACTGGATTCTGGGCTAGCTGGGCCACTGTACTGATGTGGTATGGTCCAGATGATTTCCTTGTCACTCAAAGTCCCAAAAACCTCATTTCAAATATAGAGTTACCATAAACAGAGGACCTGTGCAGCTATTCCTACTCAAGATCCACTCTCTTGCTGCTGCCTCCCCACACACAAGTCCTGCCTAGCAGTGCTGGCCTTCCCCACACTGATCCCACACGTGAACAGGGGTCAGAGCAAAGCCCATCAGCACAGCACCGTGTTCCCAGCCAGAGTCCCCCAGAGAAGAACACAAATCCTTTGCAGCATTATTCCATCAGATTAGGGTCTTTCTCAGGCAGAGAGGGAGTCTTTGCTTGGAAAAGCTCTTGATAAATTCTCTTCTGCAAACTCATCCCACTGCTCTGCAAGCCCATGAGCACACTGAGCAGGCCATTTCCTGCAGCAAGGATCCACTCCTGGGCAATGGATCTCACAGTCACTTCAGGGAAGGAGGTACAGTCACCATCTTCCAGCACAGCTATTCTCAAGCCCATACAGTTATCTACCCTCTGCCCTGAGGCGTGTCCCCAGCCAGCCTTCCACAAAAAAAAAAAAAAAAAAGGAAGAATGTTGCCTAGTACTCAATACATAATCACAGCCTAAAAATTTAATTTGCGGGCTCCTGTTAGTCTCTGGTTACCCCAGGAGCTTATCCACAAGGATCCAGCCTGACTGATCTTCCAAGAAATACACTGTGCACAGCTGCAGCTCAAACTCATTAACATGAGAGGAAAATACCAGTGCTGATTGTGATCCTTGTGGTTCCTTCTCTTAGAATGGGCAGTAAAATCACCCAAATGAGGGCAAGATGGGCCAAGAATTTTCAGCAGAGGAGAGATGGTTTCACACTGCTTTTTCAGTAGCAAAGACATAGCTTTGTCCCTGCTGCCAAAAATTCTGGCACTAGAAATGCTGAAATCTTCTTGTGACTGAGTGGCAGCAAGCTGTAATTTACTGCATTCCTGCTTCTTTTATGTCCAAGAATTGCTTCACTTCTGAGAAGAAAGAGCTGTCATTTGTCAGTCCCATGTAGCCTCTCCTTCCAACTGCCACATTTCCACATTATATCAGACATATGAATTCATTCCCTTCTTCCTATCTGCTCCCCAAAAATGGCAGCGTATTTCCAGGAACCAAGATCATCTTTTCACAGCAGCATCATTATCAGTTTTCATTTTAAAACTGTATCATGGGCATGTTTCAGAAAAAAATCTGGATTATTTTTCTTTCTGCTGTTCCATCCATCTCTTTTAAAGTGGTTCAGAGAGACCTGACTGTCTGCTGGCTTTCCACAAGCACCTTCCCCACACCTCTGACTGATGGTACATCTCCAGCCCGCTCATTGCAGCGTTTGGCTGGCTGCTGACAAAAGCTCTGCCCGGGTTTAGGATGTGGCCAGGTCCCTGGGCAGGTTGAGCTGTATGGCCTCTCCCCCTGTGGTGTATTTGGCCACTGGCCCATTGCCCTCCATGGTGAAGAGTTTGCAAGCCTTGGCGTTCTCGTGAACCGGTGTGGACTTTTTGGAGGAGATGGGGGAATTTGTGGGGCTCAGCTGGACAGCAGTGGTGTCCTGCACCGTGTGCTCGCTGGTTTCAATTTCAAAGGCTGTGTTGCCAGGTTTGATGAGGCCAATGTTAGAGCCTGGTTTGGATTTGCGGGCCCCGTGGGCTGGGGGCCTGCGGCTGCAGATGCAGCAGGCACCGAAGAACGTGAAGGCCACCACCAGCAAGATGGGTCCGATGATGATGGGAGGGTTGTTCACAGGGAGGAAGGTCCCAAAGGCAAATGCTCCCACCAGGGTGATGTTGATCCCTGCTAGCATGATGCAGAGTCCACAGGCACAGCAGAGAGCAGGGGAGGGGAGGCCCTGGGGTCGGGTCTTCTTCTGGGTGGGTTTTTGGGACAAAGAGGCGCTGCTCTTTTCACTGAGCATGCTGGGAAGAGTCTTGGAGATCACCTCAGTCCTCACAGGGTGAATGCTGTGTTGAGAAGGCTGTTTCCAGTCTCCTGTTGCCTTGAAATCCTGGAGAGGAATGAAGAAGCAGCTGTTAGGGCAATGAAGCAAAGCACCTTTCCCGCACCATTCCTGGGACCAGCATCTTCTCCGGTTTGCTGGTGCCAGCAACTAAGCACAAACCCAAGCCTGCTTTCAAAGCTGAACTCTCCCTGACTGTGCTGGTCACATGTGGCCTCTCTCAGGCTGGAGCACTGAGCCCAGGATGCTCCATGTCCTTTGCTCTCCATGTGGATGATGCCCAAGTGAATCCGAGTGTGCCCTGGCCAGAGCCTGTGCCTGGGCCATAGCTGGTCTCACAGGGTTTGTCACCACCCACACAACACCTGCCCAAAATAAGAATCCAGTACTGCCCTGAACACCCCTCGCTGCAGTACCAGGGTGATGTATTTTTGAATGGGTAATGGTCCATAATTGTGGCAGAAAGGGGGACACATTGCTCTATGTCTCAGTTCTCCAATAATTGAAATGAGTCATCCAGGTTGCCTTTCCAGCCAGTGGGGAATAAAAGGTCCCAGAAGATCACCCAGAACATCCCCAAAAGATGTCTGTACTGGGAGGCTGAGCTGACTACAGAGGCAACCCTGGAGGTCCCTCGAGCAGGTAACATTTGGATGCTTGGTGATACAAAAGCCATCCACAGACACTGAATGACACCCTGTCAGTCACACAATTCTATAATAAAATGGAGCAAATGTGGATGTTTTTTCATGTTTTAAACCATGCTTTCTACCATGCATCTAACCATCTTTGGGGTAATCACAGGAGACCCCACAGAAGGAGACTGAGAATCTTGCTTGCCTCAGCAGCCATAAACCCAAACTTCTACAAGGCTTGAGCATGAGCAGTATCAGCTCCAGGATGGAGGCTCATGGAAACTGAGATGCTGAAGCTGAAAAAGAGCCTCTGTGAGGATCTGTCTAGGACCCAAGGCGGTAACACAGCCCTGACTGACAGTAGCAGCTTCTCCATGGAGGAGATTATTGGATGTGGTGAGAGCTGGATTTGTGTTTGCTGTACTTGCTGGGAAGTCAAATTGCCAGAAGCCAATTTGTCAGCAGTTTGCTGGTGATGTCTTTGATTTCACAGGCAGGAGAGCATTTCTCTTCCCAGCCGGATTGCAAACAATAGCAGTCTGCTCTTCCTTCCTCTCCTGCCTAGCTCCCTAGCTTCTTCCCTCCTCTCCTGTCAAATCCCTTTTGAAAGTGTTGTCAGCAAAAAACTGATACCAGTCAGTTTCTATGGCAAGAGCCAAGAATCTCTGTTGTGCTATCAACACTCTGTAGCCACTGAATTAAACAAAAAATAAAACAAACAAAACCAAAACAAAACAACCCCCCAAAACCAAAACAAAAACACAAACCCAAACAAAAACACCAAACAAAAACCAACAAGTACTAAGCCATCACCCATCACACTGACACACACCAGTGGGATCAGCCGGGCATTTTCAACATGTTTCCTAGGTTATAAAATTTTCTGGCACCTCCAGCTGAGGCAAAGCTCTCTGCTGCTCTGCCAGGTGTCATATCTCATTTCCTTGGCTTGGGCTTTTGTTTAGACCTGAATGTGTGCAGCAGTCAACTTTCAGCAGAGTTCCTACTCTGTGAGGCAGCTGGAGCCGACAGGGACAGGTGCATCACAGGATTAAATCCTTCCTCATCTGGGATGCCTGACTGGGGAGAGGTCTCTCAGCAGGCAAAGATTTTTTTCAGGATACTGAGAGAGTGTGAGAGAGAAAGGGCATTTTCTCCATCAGCCAGGCTAACACATATCCATGTTTGCCTAGCAGTGTCCTTTTGTTCTGCCTGGGAACCCTGGCATGCTGATGGGAGTGGAGCCCTGATTCTGCCTCCTTCACCAACCCTGGACCAGCACCAAGATAGCTTCTGGTTAAAGACACATTTTTGCACTGTTTGCAGACCAGTTCCTGCAGATGCCAGCCCAACCTTTAGGACACAGAGGCTGCAGACACCCCAATGTGGCTCTTCCCCTTGGTTTGCCCCACAGTCTCCCACTACAAAATACACACCAGGGAACCACAGGGCTGCTCGTGGTTAAAAACCATCACAGGGTCACTCCATCAGCTTTCTTTCTCCTGCCGCTCTTCCTTCCTCTCCTGCCTAGCTCCCTAGCTTCTTCCCTCCTCTCCTGTCAAATCCCTTTTGAAAGTGTTGTCAGCAAAAAACTGATACCAGTCAGTTTCTATGGCAAGAGCCAAGAATCTCTGTTGTGCTATCAACACTCTGTAGCCACTGAATTAAACAAAAAATAAAACAAACAAAACCAAAACAAAACAACCCCCGAAAACCAAAACAAAAACACAAACCCAAACAAAAACACCAAACAAAAACCAACAAGTACTAAGCCATCACCCATCACACTGACACACACCAGTGGGATCAGCCGGGCATTTTCAACATGTTTCCTAGGTTATAAAATTTTCTGGCACCTCCAGCTGAGGCAAAGCTCTCTGCTGCTCTGCCAGGTGTCATATCTCATTTCCTTGGCTTGGGCTTTTGTTTAGACCTGAATGTGTGCAGCAGTCAACTTTCAGCAGAGTTCCTACTCTGTGAGGCAGCTGGAGCCGACAGGGACAGGTGCATCACAGGATTAAATCCTTCCTCATCTGGGATGCCTGACTGGGGAGAGGTCTCTCAGCAGGCAAAGATTTTTTTCAGGATACTGAGAGAGTGTGAGAGAGAAAGGGCATTTTCTCCATCAGCCAGGCTAACACATATCCATGTTTGCCTAGCAGTGTCCTTTTGTTCTGCCTGGGAACCCTGGCATGCTGATGGGAGCTGGAGCCCTGATTCTGCCTCCTTCACCAACCCTGGACCAGCACCAAGATAGCTTCTGGTTAAAGACACATTTTTGCACTGTTTGCAGACCAGCTCCTGCAGATGCCAGCCCAAACCTTTAGCACACAGAGGCTGCAGACACCCCAGTGTGGCTCTTCCCCTTGGTTTGCCCCACAGTCTCCCACTACAAAATACACACCAGGGAACCACAGGGCTGCTCGTGGTTAAAAACCATCACAGGGTCACTCCATCAGCTTTCTTCCTCCTGCCATCTCACACTCCCCTGCTTCCAGTCTGAAGGAATTCTCCCTCCTGGAAGAGCCAGGCAGCTGGGCTCCAGCAGGACACTAAACACTCCAGCTGCTTCTGCTCTTAGGCAAGGCATCACCAGAGGTCTGGCTGCCCCTGAGATTTTCAAGAGGAACTTCAACCTGTTGCCCATCCCATCTGTCAGTGGACGCCTGTAGCCACTCCAAAGAGACCCTGCTGGTTTCTGGCTGCTTTTGAGGATGCAGAGATATCACCCAGCATGATCCCTCATAGCTCATTTTCTCTACCTGGCAATTTTTGTTGATCATTACAGACCCCCGAGCACAGGGGCTCAAGCTTGTCACACTCTCTCTACAGCTGCTCCAGGAGTGTTCTGGCCGTGCAATGTCCAAGGCAAAACTTCTTTCCCCTCGTCTTTGTTTACAGCACCTACACGGGGTAATGGACCTTTTCCAGCAGAAAACAATGGACTCACTGGAGATTCCTGCCTGGAACCTCTCCCATCAGGCTGGGGGTAGAAGATCTTGGAAGTCAAGCATGATTGCAGGGCCAGAACGTGATCTGCACACACACCCAGGGTAACTAACAGCACATAGAAATGTTTGGACTGGGAACACATAGAAAGTAGATCAGTGGTTGCTTTTGTCTTGTCCATATGAAACACCAGGGATTGCACACAAGGAATTCCTGTTAGACCACCAGGATGACATGGGGCTGAGAAAGCCAACAGAGCAGTGGAAGATAAAGCAAAAAAGAAACCAAAGCCACAGAATGCCTTATGCTATCCTCTACCTAACAAGACCCCATGACAACATAAAGTCCATGTTTATTCTGATTGTCATGTACAACAGAAGGATCTTTGCTCTTCTGTCATCTCCTAAAGCGCAGGCTGATGTTTCTCCATCCCCTTCTCAGGCACAAGGATGGGCTGATGTGGGTCAGCTCCCACTGCTGACCTGCCTGAGGATATCTGGCAGCTTTTACCTTTCACTACAGTGAAATCAATGGCTTCAAAAATTACCAACTTTTCAGCTAAATTACTCTGATTAAAATTACCAATTTCTGTTCCATCAGGAGTGGAAAAAGTTCTCTTTGGGCTCTTTGTTTGAAACAGGTCTTTTCTTATCAATTAGAGTGTAGGTTTCTTCTCCAAACAATATTTCATCTTGAAATGCACTACTGCAAGCACTGCTGTGTAAAAATAAAAGCTACACACTCAAGCTGGCATGATGGAAATCCAGAGGTTATAATGATTTCTTCCAAGGAACAGCCACCCCTCCCTCTACTCTCAGGGGGACAAAGACAGACTTTCACCCATATGTCTGAGAGTTCCTAGAGCTTGAAGGTCATACTGACATATTCAGCCAGCATTTTAGGAGCATTGTTTAAAGCAATAGCAGCAGCACCAGCAGCATGTACAGCTAAACACGCTTCCCTCTTAGTTGTAGTGGAGAGAAATTGAGCTGTCATCCTTCCACACCGTCTCAGTGCAGCAGCACAACGAAAATATTTGACAAACCACAGATGAGTCCTCTTTCCAGAGGTGTGATGGCACAGAAAAATAATGACAGTGATCAGCAAACTGAAATTGCAGTCAGACAGCTACAACCACCCCACACACAGGCAGGCTCACAAACACACAGGCACGCAACATTTATCTGCCAGGAGAAGCACAAGACTTTTTTTTTTTTTTTCCTGGGCAAACTGCTGGGAAACTCTCTGGCAGGGCCAGAGAGAGCCTCGGTGCCTGGAAGGGGAGGATACTTACCTGGGCTGGAGCGCGGAGCCGGGGAAGGCGATGGAGAGAGCGGCTGCCCCGGGTCTCACCTTCACCCTTCAGTCGGGGATGGCAAAGCCATGGCTAGTCCCAGCAGAACCGGGGCTGGAAGCCCAGCTGTACGCTGCGGGCAGAAGGATCTCACATCCCTCCTCCCCTCTTGTCACCGAGCTCAGGAAACTTTGCTGGGTGTCGGGCGGGCAGTCCTTGGCGCAGCTCAGCGGCTCTGTGCAGCTCCGCCGCTTTCCCCCCACTTTCTTCCTTCCCCGCGGAGCACGATGTTGCTCTCCTTAGGCAGATGGGCGCTCAGCCGCAGCATCCCTGCCCCGCCGCCTCCTCTCCTGCCTCCTCCTCCTCCCCGCAGCCCGCCGTGCCCAGCAGGCTCAGCCCACCGCCCACCGCTGTCCGGCACCGCTCATCCTCGCCCCGCTGCTTTTCCTTCTTCCTTTTCTACTTCAAGGCTGCAGCTCCCGCCCCCTTCAGCTGACAGAGGTGCCCGGAGCAGAACAGCCCCTTTTCCCCCAGGGAGAGGAAAAAGCCGGGAGCGCATCCCCGGCGAGGGTCAGCCCCGGGGCGGAGAGCGGAGCGCGGCGGCGGCGGGGGAGAGAGGGAGACAGCGCCGAACGCCAGGGAACGGCGTGCGGGCTCGGCCGTGCTGCAGCGAGGCACGGACTCCCAAAGGTTTGAAAAGCACGTAACGAATAATAATAATAATAAATACAGCCGGTGTTCGGTGCCTTTGGATGGCGGGGGGATGCCGCAGGGATGCGTGCGGGGAGTCCGTGCTGGGCGGTGAGACAAGACCGCCAGAGGTGCAACGTCCGGAGTGTGGGTGCTACAAATAAATAAATAAATAAACAGATAAATAAAGAAAGAAAAAGTCCCCAGATGCAAAACTAATGTTTCAAACGAGCAATCAGACCTAGGGTGCACTTAGAGGTAGTTGGTCTAAAACCACGCCTCATGCTACATCCTGTTTTAAGCACAGCCAGATCTTAACTCCCATATTAAGGGGCCAATCTCTGTTTGCAGAGCTGGTGAGCACAGGGGACATGGCAAACTGCGAGCTGTGCACTGGATGGAGCAGAGATAATTCTCCCAGAGCTTGAGACGTGCTGACACTCAGCTGTCCTCGTCTGCTCTCCATGCTCCCACTGCTGTAACCAGCTTGGCTGCTGCCAGTGACAGCTGAGCACAGGCTCTTCTCCAATTTATCGCTGAAGAATCCTCTATGAACCAGGCTGGAGCTCATTGAACATCAATCATGCCCCCCTCTCTTTCAGATTGTTGCTTTCATGAGAGAGAGAGAGAGGAGAAAGGTAACAGAGGCAGTGAAAAACAAAGGTCAAAGAGAGAAATCACTGAGGAGGAATGAACACTTCTCTCTGTTCTCCAGGCACCACTTCAGCCTGAGGATTCTTAATACAGCAGCATCCTCTACTGCACCATATTGCATTTCACTTTACAGGTCATCCTAGAAATTCAGGAAAAACGAAACTTCACAGAAAGGAGTTCAGTCTCTGCTGAGGAAGACAACTCTGTTTTCTCCTGAGCTTGAGCAATGCCAACAGCACACAGCATGGCTTGAGCAACAGGGCAGGAGGATATCAGAAAACCAGCACTGAGCAGATGTGTTGACTGCCTGGGCTTATAGACAGAAATGACTGGGAAATCTCATTCCAGACCTTCCCAGAAATGCATTGTCTCCTCTAGGGATTCCCCGGACCTGTAACATGAAGTTCAAAATGGCTCAGTGTACTCAGCCCTACAGAGAAGTGATGAGAGAGTGTGCAATGGAAGATTTTGTGGAGAAACTCCCCCTGGCACCTCTGAGAGAGACAGTTCCACATGTGGCAGAGCTGGTGCTCAGTGTTTGCTGCCTGTTGCTGGGTAGGGAACCCGAGTGGCTGCACTCATTCCTGGTGTGACACCCCGGAGTCCAGCAGGAACACTCCAATAAGCCATGTTTATGTAGGAACTGAGGCTGTCAGAGGGGAAGAGACTGTCAGGGTCATTGACTCGAGCCCACTGCTCTCACATTGTGCGGTAGCATTCACAAAGCTCAGGCTCCAAAGGGGCCAATTAATACTGAACGACCTGTCAGTTGTGCCCTAATTGCACAAAGCAGTGATGAAGAAGGCTGCTCCTGCTTCCCTTTAGCTGTTGCATGACTCTCCATCACACTTTCTTCCTAATGGTCCATAAGCCCCCAAAAAAGGCTTTACTGAAATGTTACATTTTTCGGGCTCCACGGAAGCAGTAATTCTGTGTTTTGCATATGTGGCCCTGACAACTGGCAGACTGCATTCATGTGATTAAAACAACTGCTAATTCAAGAACTAAAATTAAAGGCTAGATTTCCCACCGGTATAAATCAGAGCAGATTCATTTCCTTGCAGAGCTTTGATAGCTCATGAGCATTCATGATTTGCCAAGGGGTTTCTGCCAGACTGATGGTTTATAGCTTCAAACTTGCCAGGAACTGGGAAGCCCTGCCTTTTTTAGAGGAAAGATCCCAACCCTGTGCTGACTAGAAATAATATTTCCTCTGGGAGAAACTGTTTGTTCCCAGCTTCTGCTGAATTCAGAGATGAACTGAAGTCAGAAATTTCTGAATGTGAGGAAGCACTGCCTGCTTGTCTTTTCCCACTGTTAGTTCCTGACTGGTTTCAGCCCCAAGAAATCTGTCTGAGGCACTCTTGTACCCACCAAGGTTGGGCTTTAGTGCCACCACATCTTGCCCTGAAGCAGGTCAGCATGGTGAGTGCCACAACATGAAGCCCTTAGACTTCACACTGCTTATGAGGGGTTTTTCTCCACGTGAGAATGCCTGAAAAAAGGTGGGAAGGGTGAGAATGTTCCATAGAAGTTTCAAAGGATTTTGGTTGGGACTGATCCTCGAGGGAGGGCACACAAGCAGCGTTCATGAGAACAGCAGCAGGCCAGCAGCCTGACCCCTCAGCACAGCAGGAGCAAAGTGCAGAGCCCATTCTGCTGCCTGCTGAACCATGCCCATCGCAGAGAGAGCGCTGGGGAGTTCGTGTCCCTTAATTAGATCATTAGACAAAGGTCACTGCAGAAACCTCCCCCTGCAGATTTCCATGAGGTGTCCAGATCTGGCACCTGTCTGTGAGTTTACAGTTTAATTGCCTCTTAAGGGAAGGAAATGCCAGGCTAAACCTGCTGTTGCTCCAAACCAACTCTAAATGCCACCACGTCTGTGTGAAAGTTTGCAATACATCAGCATCCTCACTGGCTCATGGTTCTGTGCTGCCTCTGAAATTCAGAAGAGGCAAAGGCCAATTTCTGCAATGTTTATCTGCCTAGAGCATCAAAAAGGAGGCAAAAAAATTAGTATTTGTCATTCCCAGAGGCAGCTGTGAAATTGCTATGCAGAAGAGTTAAACCCATGAAGGACACACCTCCTTGTACGTTGTGTAATTAAAATCACAGGACTCTACTGTGGACAACACCAATATTAATGTGCTCAGACCTAGAACACAGACACAGCTGGACCTGTCAAACACAACAGACCAGCTGCAGCTCCAAGTACACGATATTATCACTGGGAAGGACCTGGGGAGGAGAGCTTGCTCTAGGTTTGCCTAATCTGTGATACTGGCAGCTGCTGAGGCAGAATAATAGGTACCACCAGCCTAACATTCAGCATCACTAAAGCTTTGCCTCTACCCTCTGATCTGCTGGTCTACCAGAATACTTCTGTGGTTTATTATGTTTTTTTAAATAATCTGGAGATAGTTTTTCCCCATCACACAAACAAACAAACAAAAGAACTAAACAGGCTTCCAGAATTTCAAACAAGTTTCTCCTTCCTATGACATCTTCTCACAACTCTGAAAGGTTAGTGGACAGGAAACATCTGTGCAAGTGGCTGTCCTGTTACACAAACAGCTCAGTAGGTTTTTTTATAAAGCTTTCTCAAACAGGAAGAAATCTGTGGGTCAGTTATCAGCCAGGGGCAAATATTTTTAATTACCTTGCAGGGAGGAGTGGGTCTATTCTCTTTAGTTCTCGAAGGTTCTACTGACAGTCTAATTAGCAAGCAGCATCACTGCAAGAGGAGGCCTGAAGTTGCATGGTTATATTCACCCAGGAGGCAAACACCCAGTTCATCCTCCTCTGTCACATCATGGCTCTCTCTGCCAGCCAGGTCACACCAAAGTGCAGCTGATCTGGAAGAGACAAAACCACACACTGTGCCCACCAGTAGCTGTACTGCATCATTTCAAATGCTGTTCATCAGGCACTTCAGTGTTACATCTTCTTCTTGAAAAGAAGGGTTGGTAGAGATTTTAGTTGAAGGACTGTTTGTTCCTCATAAACTGAAATCAGAGTGTGCTTCACATCTTAGAGATTATACATTGGGTGTTACATATTACATGTTATAACAGTTTTCCTTATTTTTCCCTTCTTCTCCAGGAAGAATACACAAATGCATCCGACCTGTGTTTGGGTACCACCACAAGAACCACTGAGGTACATGGGAACAGAGCCAGCCCCCAAACATGAGCCATCACAGGAGCAAGGAACTGTCCTTCCAAGAGGATTTATGCTCTGCTATTGGGAGGATGCCTCAGGTGACTCTGAAGACATTCCTGAGGATGGGATTCAGCTGGCATCACAAACCAGCACTGGAATTTTGATGATGAAGACAAACCAAGACGATGGAATCTGAGCGAAAGCAATAACCATTCTTGGGGCTGAGCCCTACACACAGGGAAAGGCCAGCCAGCTGTGCCACAGGAGTCCATCATCCCCTTGGGAACCAATTCCACCCAGGAATCCATCATCCTTCCCGCAGAGCTTTCCTGTCCGTCCAGGCACTCCAGCACCCCTTTGAGCAAGGCACTGCTGCCCAGCTGAGCCATGCACAACACCAGAGCCTGACTGCAAAGGTGCTCTCAGGTGCCTCAGATGCAAATATCTTCACTTCTCTCACCTCTGTGGGGAAAAGCAGCCACATGGTGATTTAGGCCAACAGAATCGATTTCCTGGTGGAAGCAGGGTTAGATACTATGAGTCAAATGAGAGATCATAGCTTCTCACATTCAACCTGTCCCTGGACATGGAGACCAAACCCCCTTTGGAACAGATCTGCTGCTGCTTTGTGAGCCAACAAAAAGAAACTGAATTGGTGCCTGTTACATCCACCTGATGGTCAACTTGTAGCATGCCAGACCGCAAGAGATACTAATTACCAGCAGCACAAATCACATTACTCTCGCCAGTTTGGATTCCTGGAAAATCTTGCTTTGAGGGATGTCAGACTCTACATCATGAACAGATGGTGTTTCTGTCTGAGGAGGAGACATGTCCTTGATCAGCCTGTCACTGCTTAGGGCGCTGACATTTTTGTTTCTCATCCAACAGTCTTCACCCAAGGGCTGAGGCTTTACA